CCGCCGCCATCTGGCAGGAGGCGTAGGGCATGGGTGAAGGCGGCTGTGGTAGCGGCCACGAGTTGTTGAGGAAACCGGACTGCAGGTACTTTGGAGGCGCCAGGTAGCCATAACCGTCGGCCCCTGCGCCCGCCACGCCGCAGCCACCAGCGGCGCCTCCGGCACCGAAGAGCCCCTTGCCGGGCTGGAAGTGAGCCGGCGGTGGCCGGAAGGGCCGCTTCATGCGGCGGCGGCGCCGGTAGTTGCCCTTCTCGAACATGTCCTCGCAGGCCGGGTCCAGCGTCCAGTAGTTGCCCTTGCGCTCGCCGCCGCCCTCGCGCGGCACCTTGATGAAGCACTCGTTGAGGCTGAGGTTGTGGCGGATGCTATTCTGCCAGCCCTTCTTGTTCTTCTCGTAGAAGGGGAACTTGGCGATGATGTACTGGTAGATGCCAGACAGCGTGAGCCTCTTCTCGGCGCTCTCGCGGATCGCCATGGCGATGAGCGCCACGTACGAATACGGGGGCTTCTGCGCGGGGTCGGGCTTCTCAGGGGTTGTCCCGCCGCCACCCCCGCCGCCCTTGCCCGGGCTTGGCGGCGGCGCCTCCGGCTCCTTGACTGTGCGGCCGGTCTCCTGGGCCAGCAGGGTCCCCGCAGCGTTCTCGGGCTCGGGGTAGCTGGCCATCATGACAAAGCTGGAGCGCTGCGGCCCGGTCGCCACTGCTCTCCCCTCTAGACGCTGGCTCCGCGGAATCGGGGCGCACGAGTCTGCTCGCGGCCGAATCTCAAACTTCTGGAGGCTGAGGATGCCGCCCGCGTTCGCTCGCTGGAGGCCTCTGGCTGCTCTCGCTCTTCTTTCTCTTCCCCCAGGGAGCGGCCGGCGGGAGTGGAACTCAGCCTCTGGCCATGGGGAATCTGCCCAACAGAGGGGCTCCGGCCTCGCCGCCCCTCCCCGCCCAGGCCAGTCCCCGCCTCGGTGGTTTTTCTTTTCTGCGCTTTCCCCTCCCCCCTCCCCCCACCGGTTTCCCGAGGCACGACCCGCGTCTCTGGCGGAGCTGCCTCCTGGAGTCCCTAGAGCGCCAAGGAGCTTCGCTCTGTTCTGATTCGTATGGGCTCCGCCGAGTTCCGCTTGCGTCAGGCGCCTTCGCCCCTATAGCGGGGCAGCCAGCCGCGCACGGGCGAGTTCATCTCCAAGTCACTTTTTGTAAACGCCCCGCACAGCCCGGACCGGCCTGCCCCCGCTCCTCTAGCCTCGGGGGCCCAGCGGACAGCTCTCGCACACTCGCACAAGCCCTTGAAAACTACCCGCGCCTACTCTGCGGACGAGGCCGGGAGATATCGAGGGCCCGGGACGTGGGGGGCGCCTGAATGCGTCCAGTGCCCTGGGAGCTCCGGCCCCCGGGAGGAGAGGCGCTCCAGGCCTCCTCGCTGCTTTCAGGTGAAAGAAAAGGACTCTCTTGCTGCTGTCCTGAGGCTAAACTTCCAACTTGGGGCTGGGGGAGGGACAAGACGAAAAGTGGGCCTGACCGGGGTGGAAAGGGAAGAGAGAGCTTCGCGATGATTTGGGGAAGGCCAGCCCAGAAACGCGTGTCACTGGATGAAGAAATCTCGGCCTGCCGGGTCCCATGCGCTCTCAGAGTGACTGGGCCGGGATGGGGTTGGAGAGAGAGGATGGCTGGGAGGAGGCTCCCAGGGGCACCGTCTGAGTCGCCTCTGCCCTTTTCTGCTCTGGGGGTGGATGTAGGAACCAGATCCTTCCACGGAATCCCGTAGCAGTTCTCCAGGTTGGGTATGCTCTTTAACAACACCAGGTGGCTGCCCCTCTGCTCCTGCCACATAGACGAAGATGTTGTGATGAGTTTTGGGGAACTATATATATGTGTGTGTGCAGGTGTCACATATGGAAGTCATGAGAGGGTTTGTCCTTGAGATGTCTGATATACCAGCTGTCCAGGTGAAAGAGTGCTGGTCACAAACACAGGTATGCACATGTACAAGGTGTGAGACTTATATTTATGAGATATAATACATTTATACTTGCAGATATGTCATAACATATGTATATTAAGTATCAGAATAAATGTTGTTTATGCGTGTAGAATCTTCTCTTTTCTCCCTTCACAGTTTTCTTTTCTGTCTTTCACAGTTCTTCTCTGCCTCCTTCCTCCCAGTGTATATACTTCTATCATAGACTTGGAAGAAAAACAACAGATTGAAAAAGGCACTTGTACAAAATTCTCTCATGATGTGACATTTGTTCTGATCTTCTTTCTTCAAAGGTTCAGAGGTGAGTTCTCACCTGCCTTCAACAGGAGTCTGATTGGGGTGGAGTTATATCAGCATGTATAAAGATTGTCTCATAGGAAATCTGCGCTGGCAGAAAAATCAGGTGTGCCTTTTAACAATATGACTTTTCACTGAGCCTTAACAAAAAGTCTGCAATTTTAAAGTGAGAGAGGTGGCTAGTGTTTTAACTTTTCAAACTCCTGAGTGCTGAAGAGGGGGTCAGGATGCTGTGTGGACTGAATGAATGTTAGGCAGGTGTGTGTTAGTGATTGGCATGTCTGGAATGGCTAGTCCAAAGCTTGTCACTATTCCAGCCCAGGCTCTCCAGTGTCAGAATTTTCAGAAAGCCTGAGGAGACCACTGTGGCCTGTGGGTGGCTTTAGCATCAATAGGCCACTTAATATGCTGCTTCTCACTCAGACCTCTGATTCGAATTCTGAGATGAAAGGGAGGAGAGGGTGATGGGCTGTCTGGAATTCAGCATCTTGAAGATGGCCCCCAGAGAGGTCAGCAGGGCAACCCTGGCCTGACCACCAGGGTGAGAGAGAGCTAGGATCTTTTGAATTGACCTCAGTATATTCCGGTTCTACCCCTTATTGATAATATCTCAAAGTAGCTCGATTATTTTCCAGGCTATTTCCCACTGCCCCCAACATGCACCACTTCTTCAAGATCCCTGTGATTGCTTTCTGAGCAGGCGTGCAGGTGTTTTTCTTCTTCCTCACTCTCATGGGTGCCCAGGCAATGTGTAAGAGGGGTGAGTCAGATTTTGGAGCTGAAGTTGGCTCCCCTAGGGCCCAGTCAGGGCAGAAACAGCTGGGTCTGGCTCTATCCTAGTGAGGGCTGCTCTCTCTCTCTCTCTCTTTTTTTCCTGACCACCCAGGCTGGCTCTCTTGGTCTCCCCCACACCCCTCCTGGAAGGCAGGCATTTCCGAAGCTCAGCCCCGCAGCAGCCAGGTGTGACAGGATTGTTGTGTGTGTCATCACTTCTCCGAATTCCACACTCAGCTCTCTTTTCAGTCTTCAAGGAGTGTGTGTGTGTGTGTGTGTGTGTGTGTGTGTGTGTGTGTAGGGGTGAGGTAAAGGAAGGAGAGCCTCTGAAGGATTTTCTGAGTGCCCAAGAAGAGGACTCCTGCCGTCCCAGGTGTTGATTTCTGGCTGGACTTTCCAGGAACAGAATCCCTAACCCAGATGGAGCAAGAGGTGTGTATTTAGGTGGGGCTCGTGTTAGTCTTTCCTCAGGATGTGCCCCACATGCGGCTGCCAGGCATTGGAAGGCTGGCATTTGGGGGTACGGCAGTGATCGCGTTCAGGGTAGCTGCAGGCCTCCGGAGAAAAGCCAGTGACTCAGGCTGGAGGATCCTAGGGAGAGGTAGAGTCCTGTCTTCGCTGCGGTGTGGGGCGGGCGCACCAGGAGGCGAAGCGGTGCTCTAGAGGTAAGCTGGCCGGGTAAGGCCCCGTTTCCTGGCGAGATCGGGATCCTGTGCTGCCCAGGCCGTGTGGGCCCGAGGGCCACTGCCTTTCCCCTGGCAGGACAGCTGCGCCTCGGTCACCTCCGGATTACGCTTACCTCAAAGGGCCAAGGTCCTGATCCGGGCGGAGCTCATGCCTCTACCGCCCGGGCTTTCCAGAGGCCCGCGGCTTCAATTTAGGAGCCACCCGCTCCTTGTCCGTCGTGCCACCTTAACGCCGCCTGCAGACGCCCAGCCAGGACCCGCCGACCGAGCGCGGCCTCGTTGGCAGCCCGGGTGCCTCGAAGACCCGGACAGCGGGAGCAAGCACTTCTCCAGGCTCCGACGAAGCCACACATCTTTTTGTCTAGCGTCGTGACAGCAGGAGAAGGCGGCCGGGTCCTGGCTGGGGAGTGGCTCCGAGACGTCCAGACAGGCAGCGCTTCCCGGTTCCGCTCACCTCGCCCGCCCTGTGCCGCCCGCCACCGGCTGCCCAAACCAGATCAGACCCTCTCAGCCAGGCCCAGAAACTCCGGCCAGCGCCCCACTCCTGCGCAGGGAGAGGAACCGCGCAGACTGCGACCAGGGCGAAGAGAGAAGCTTCAGTGTGCCCGTTGGTACCCTTAGTACACAACCCCACGCCTCGACCACTGTGGGCACCTGGGCATCCCGCCCGCTCTACTCAGGTCACATCCCTCCACCACTTCTTTTCACTCCCAGTCAACTCTGTATCCCCTCTTGTTGTTCCCACGACTCTCTCACACTCCCCCACTACACATACCAGTTCAGATACTGAACATTTTGGTGGAAAACATATAAACTGGTGCCTGAACTCTAAGGCTCTTCACACACTGGCCACCCGGGTACCCAACTCACAGAATGATCTCTGACTCCCTGGCTGCAAATCTGACTTTCAAAGCTTCTTGAGCCCCTGATATCCTTAGCCTGTAGTCAGAGTGAGGGAGCTGCCACTGGCTGTTCTCCATGGCAAAGGTGTTCAGAATTTCTTTGAGAAACTGGGGTACAGAATATGCCCCCAGGCACCTACACACACACACACACACACACACACACACACACACACACAGAGACACACACACACATACCACTCATCTTTGTTTTGAGCTCTGCAGAAAGTGCTCAAACTGATAGGCTGTAGTGCAAAGAGGTGGCATAGATCTTATGCACACAGTGTATAATTCTGCCTGGTTGGGATTAGCAGAGTCTATTGCCCAAATATTTGGGAGAGAGGAAGTGACAGTGAGAGAAAGTAGGGAAGTGGGAAGAGAAAGAGAGGTTGAGAGGAAGGAGGAGCCATTCCCCACTCTCTGGAAAAATTCACAGATGAGAGCTGTTTCCATTTGGTGTCTTATTAAACTTTCATGCTTCTTCCTTGTAGGGGATTGGGCAAGCAGGCTAAATAGAGCTCTGGGTTACTTCTTGGATTTAAAACAATATATATATATATATATTTTTTTGAGTAGGGGTCTTTATGAGTGCCTAGGCTGGTCTTGAAGTCGTGGGCTCAAATGATCCTTCCATCTCAGCCTTCCAAGTAGTTGGGACTACAGGCATGTGTCACTGTGACCGTCTTGTGTTCCTGCCTTCCTCACTGGTGTGATGCTGGGTTAGAGGTCCATCAGAATCTGCTCCAAGGAGAGTGGGCCTCCTAGCAAGGCACTAACTGTTCAGGACTGATAAAATGACCTCATAAATAACCTTTATGAGGCATGACTTCAGGGCAGGAGGTCTTTATCTTGATTGAGGCTAACTCAGGAAGAAGAGGCAGATGGGGCTTGAGGACCACCTCCCTCTGAAGACCTCTAGATGCTCCTCAAGAGGATTCTTGGGTGGCCAAAGCTGTTGGCCACTGTTCTCTGATATCTCCCATGACTTTCATGGCCCAGGTTCATTTTATCAGTCCTGAACAGTTAGTGCCTTGCTAGGAGGCCCAGGCCCTTGCTTGGGAGTAGGGTGTGCTGTTTGCCCTGTTGCTTTTCTCCACCTCTACACTGTAAGCCTTGATGGACAGACTGTCTTCCATGACTCACTCTGTGTTTCCCACCAGGATGTCTTTAATGCCTTCTAATGGGATTGGAAAATGGTTCTGCTCCATGGGGAGAATTAGGAAAGGTTATTTTCCTTGTAACGAAACTAGAACTTCTGAGAAAGAGACTGCAGGTGGGGAAGAATGGTTGGACCATTGAGAGTTCTGAGAGTTCTGAGAGTTCTCTGTGAGTTGGGGCTACCTGCTCCTTATGGCTGCACAGCCATGCTGCTGAACTTTAGGCAAGAATGAGGATGGCTTCCCGGTTCCCTGAAGATGGAGAGGACACATCTAAAACATTCAGTCTAGACTTTCATGGATACAGGCTTCTGCATCTGGGGCAGCTGGCTTTCAAGGTAAGGCCTGCTGCCTGGAGCACCAAGGACTACCTTTGGTTCTAATCCCTAGCTCAAGTTTCTCACCACCAAGTGGGCACTGTCTAAAGAACCTTCATGCAGGGGGGTAGTTGTTTGTTTGTTTTTCTTATATAATATATGAAAAGATGTTACATTTATATATATTTATTTTTAAAATTAAATTAAAAAAATTTTAAACTACATGATAGCAGTGGAAAGCATTACAATTCTTATTACACATATAGGGCACAATTTTTCATATCTCT